CCAGAGGGGCTGGCCGACCCAGACCCGGGGAGCCTGAGCGAGACCCGGCGGAGCGCACGCCCCAGGACAGAGTCGGAGAGTCGGAGAGTCACGACCCCCAGAGACAAGAGACGAAGGATCCGGAGAAAGGTGAGGGGGGCCACGGGAGAACGAGGGCCACACAGGATTAGAGACGGCGATGTGAGGGTGGCCGGGACGACGTCCAGACGTGCGCGGAGAGACCGTAAGAGGCATGCGAGCCGGCGGGCCGGGACGTGCTGGAGGGCACAGAGGCAAGCTGGCCAGCCGAGGGGACGCAAGAGACTGCACAGCTGGGAAGCCCAGCGCCAGGGCTGAGGATACGGAGCCCCGAGAGGTCGGCAGGGGTGGGGCAAGGCACACAGTTCAGCGTGGCAAGGATGACGGGGCAGCTTCCCGGCCAGGACAGGGGCACGAGCCGCAGAGCCAAGGGGCACCTGTGCACCCCCCCTCCTCCCTCTCCTTGGCCACCCCGCCTCAGTTTACCGTGTGCGGCCTCCTTGTCTACCTGAGAGGTGCCCTAAGAGGATAACGTTCTGCAGAGAATTGCTTGAAAATGCAAATTCGAGTGATACTTGGACACAGCCTCCTTGGTCACCCCAGGGCTAGGTTCCCTTGCAAAGTTAGAGGAAAAAACCGGCACAGCTGCTCTTCACAACGAAGAGACCGCTGCTGGGCGGAGCTGAGGCCACAGGGTGCGCGGACAGATCCCCCCACCGAGGGCCTGGCTCGCCTGGGAGCCTCCGAGTGCTCAGCACGATGGAGGAAGTGGGCACCATCTCTCTCCATCCGTAGGAGAGTAGTAAGCCTGAGCCCTGCGGCCAGGCCAGCGGTCCCAAAGCCAAACTCTCCCGGAGTTTCTTTCTCCCCCCGCCCCGCCTCTCCCTGACTAGCCGCTGCTACTTTCTGGGCCTTGGTCTCCTGATCGACCAGAGATGCCCACTCTGGGCCCCAGGGAAGCTGTGAAGACTGAGTAGGGGAAGCTGAGCCCTCTGCCCTCCTGCCCCACGGTTCTGCTTGGGGAAAGGAACGCAGTCCTCCAGGCAAGGATGGTGGAGTGTCCCCAGAAGGCTGGGGCAGGGGCACCTGTCCCACCCCACACAGCCATCAGGTCCAATCTCCTGGCCTCACGTGCCACTGCCAGTCAGCACCTAGCCCTCAGCTGGTGTCCTGGGTCACTCCCGCCTGTGTGCTCCAGGTGGGCCTCAGTCTTCCCCTGTGAGAAATGGGCTCACCACACCCATGGGCCTGTCCTTCCTCACATTCACGCAACTTTTCCAGCACCAGCTGCTGGCAGCAGGGATGCAAGGCTGGCCCTAGGCCCCTGGCACATGCTCAGACTCTGGGGGAACTAGAAGAGCGCTCTGGGTGTCTAGGAGCCAGGGTGGGGACAAAGAATGTCTTAGGAACCACATGGCAGGACACAGCCAGACCTCGAGCCACTGCCTCTCCTCCCCAGTTGCTGTGTGACTTTCTGAACTTGGGCTTCTCTGCAGGAATGAAAGAAGGTGGCCTCAGTGACCACCAGTTGCTTCAGACTCCCAGGGTAGGTCTTCCTGAGAGTCAAAATGGCTCTTGGGAAGCGGCGCTGTGGAGCCAGGGAGCAGGCCTGTTGGTGGGGACGAGAGACAGCCTGGCAGCCGCCCAGCCTCCAGAGGCAGAGAGCAAGCCCAGGCTTTGCTGGGTGGGCAGTCCAGCTGGGCCCCTCGTGGGAGCAGGCCCAGAGACTCCCTCCCTCCATAGGTGCTGGGTGTTCCCCAGTCCAGCCACCTCCTTTCCCAGGTGGGAAACTGAGGCCCATCAACAGGGAGGGACCTGCCCAGAGACCACAGTGAGTAGGGGGTTCTTTTGACCCTCCATATTGGCCTCCTGCTTTGCCCCCCGCCCCACATGCCCAGGGCCCGCCTGCTGTCCTCTCAAGGGAACAACCTGTTGCACAGGCCCAGCCCGGCCCTCCCCACCCATCCCCTCTAATGTGAGCTCCCTCTGCGCCATCCAGTCACATAGGGTGGCCCTGAGGATCTTGTGTCCCAGGTCAGAGCACAGGAGGGCAGGCCCGAGCTGCTGCACACCTGTTGTACCACCAGCCACCTCCCTGGCTAGCTCCGAGGTCGGGACAGTGAAGGGGCCATGTTTAGGTGAGACCTCACGTGGAGATCTGGGGAACCAGAAAACCAGCTCAGCCCAGCCCCACCCCATTGCACAGGCGTGCCCCCTGGATCCTGGGACCGCAGCCAGGGCTACCTCCTCCTCCTGCCCCTCCCAGACCTGCGGCAGGGCGCCCCGGTACGTCTGCCCCAAGGGCCGGGGAATGCCCCGAAAGCTGAGAGCTGGGAGGCTTGGGTTGGCTCTGGCTGGACGGGCTCCATCAGCCCAAAGCACTACCCTCGGAGCTGCGCAGGGACCCAGGCTCCCCTGCCGTGTGAGTCTAAGTAAAGCCCAGTTAAACCCTTTTCAGGCGAAAAATGCACGGAAGCGGCTGCAGGGCCTCCTCTTCTCAGGAATTGAAGCGTTGGCGACCGGAAAGAGGTTCACAGAGAACGAGTCCTCCTTGCAGTCCAGGGCACTGAGCAGCCCGAGGAGGGCAGCCCCTTCCCCAGGGTCCCAGCCGCGGGGCCGGCGCCCGGGACCCGGCGGCGGCCCTCCCCGGGCCCCCCCGCCCCCGCCGCCGCTGCGAAAATCCCGGAAACCGTCCGCTCGCGCCGCGCCGGGCTCAGTGGAAAAGGTGACCTCAGCGCCCCGGGCTCGCCGCCTTCCCCAGCGCCTGGCGAGGGGCGCCGCGGGTGGCGAGGGGCTCAGCGGGCGGGGGGTTCTTGGCGACGCCCCAAGTCGGGTTGGAGGGGTTTCCCCCTCCCACCCGCGCTCTGCCCCTGGGACCCCACAGCTCCGGAGGGAGTGGGGAGGGGTCACCTCACTCCCCAAACCGAACCTCCTGTGCACTGCGTCAGGGTCACAGACCTGCCTTCCCTCCAGCCACTGCTTCCTGCCCCTCCCGCGGCACCCCGCGCCTCCCAGGCCGGATTCTGGAGCGGCCCCTGTGCGCGGGGATCGCCGAGCCATTGTACAGATCGGGAAGCCGAGGCCGGAAGGAGCAGGCCTTGGGGAGGGTGGGCGCCGAGGCCCGCGACTCCCGCGTTTCTCGGCTAGCCCTAGGCGACCCTCTTCCAGCTCTCTCCCGACGGGAACGAAACGCATCTGCTCTTTCTCTCAGTGCGGTTTTGTGTCTTGGTGGGCACAACGAACTAGGGCCCGGGGATGGGG